GAATCACTACAATTTTCGCACAACCATCATAGGTAAGCCACAAAGTTATTAGCTAATCAAATCAGCGTTGTATCCCGTTCTTGTCCCCTTTTCAATTAGTTCCGGAGACAATCGCCTTCAGGTAGACATCATATGCCTCAAGATGAGTGCATATCTTCGTCTCACATCAACAAATCTCAGCACCCTCTTCATCTCATTACACATACCATTGGGCACTTTTGCAGTAGCAGCATCAGCACCAATGTCGCCACACACTGAATTGGAATATTCCAGTCTACCTACCTGTCAGCAGCCTAATTTTAAGGTGAAAAGTAGTCGAATCCTTGAATGTGACCCCCAGAAAGCTTCAAATGACCATGCACGGCGGGAAAGCCAATCACACATTGACCCGAATTCCATCCCACGCTCGCGGCTCGATACGTCAATTATTCTGGTCACTGGTACGCTATGGTGTAAGTGGCTGCCAAGAACCCCCTGCAGTGCTGTCAGAGGCTATTCAGACGTCTTGACGTGACATTATGTGCTTCCCTCCGTCTAGCAAGACGTGTCTATTGCCTTCTCGGGTCATTGTCTCCGTCGAAAAGGTCTTACCTCGGCCTACTTCGGAGAGGACCAGACAAACAACGGCCCGGAGTGTGCGAAACAGTCAAAACATGCATTGTGGCCTTCCTTCTTGAACGGCACAATCCAGACCGCCATAGCCGATCCCACGGCCATTCTTCGGTCCTCTCGACTCGTAGGAACACCACATGCAATGGCTGAGACTGACAGGAGTGAGCGTGAGCGTGACCGCATGCATTGGCAAGGGCGAGGACCATTTGAGGGAGGTAGATCAAGGAGGACCTAACTGGTAGAAGCCTTCCAAGTCTTCGGTGATGTATGTTTTTTTTTTTCGCCTCAAATCCGCGGCTCTTACTCGGGAATGAAACTGGAAAGTCAGCTGTTCCGAAGACCGGTCAATACCGACGACTAATGAATGGCAAAGCCTATAGCGCCATGCGCGTTTCACTTGTTAGCTCACGGCTATGGCGTCTAGAAGGTCATTGGAACTTTGAAAGTCTTCGCGGTGCGTCATCCCGTGAAACAATGCCCACACGTGTGATCCAAGTCGGGGCATTGGAACGCTTGACAGCACGGCCGATCGTGAATAGATCACGTTGTGGTGCAGTACAATAATCTGGGGTGCATACGCCCCACGCGACCTATTCTATTTAGCCCGAATACTTCGTACGTTGCAGTGAAACCGTCCGGCTGACCTCGCCGCAGCCGGCCCTCACCTCTTGATAGGCCATACCGGTCCTCCCATCCATGTTCTTGTCTGGATCGGCCCGTTAGGAAATCCTTGAAAATGTCATGTTTCGATTTCCACCATTCCTGGTCGTCAATGTATTTCCCGAGTCGATGACTTCAGGCTCCTCGGCTCTTACCCACCCCTCCTGCGACTCCATCACCTACCCAATTGGTACCTACGTACAATATTATTATGGGGAAAACAAGAATGTGCTCAGTCTGCCGCCACTGCAGTAGAAAGGCCCTCACCGCCAATGTACCCGTGCAAGCCTCCTTCACAGGCTTCCCTTAGGCCGAGTGCAAAGCGGAATACCTTGGCTGCCCTGCTTAGGGGCTGACGGCAAACACCGAATAATGAGTGGTGCAGCTGGCCGAGATGGCATGGTCTGCTGGTCACACAACTACGCGATCCTATCCGTGGAGGGCTGACGACTGCTTAGACATGGACGGCTAGGTACTGGACTTCCCGATTCTCTGTCTTACATGCCAGTACTGGTAAGTTATCGGATATGTGAAGTAAGTGTCTACACATATATATATAGTAAGTTGCCCAAAAGTCTATTCCTAGAGACGTTCCTCTAGAGTTGATGTAACAGTTGTCTCCTCTTCGTCGTACATCTCGCGAATTGGCTTTGTTCTCACCAGTCATTCCCTCCTCCTTCTTTCTCTTCTTTCCCCTGTAAATATGGGCCGCGAACTTATTTTGTTTCCGCTGCTCGTGGCAGCCAGCCTCCTACACTTGGCCGAATGCCTTACTCCCGCAGAATGGCGCTCGCAGAGCATCTACCAGGTCATGACGGACCGTTTTGCTCGGACGGATTTGTCTACAACAGCAGCCTGTTCGACTTCTGCACAGGTCTACTGTGGTGGCACCTGGGAGGGTCTGATCAGCAAATTGGACTATATTCAGGGCATGGGCTTCACGGCGATATGGATATCCCAATGGTGGCCCAGATGGCTGGGGACACAAGTGACGGCAGTTCTTACCACGTGAGCAAATCTTCTTCTCATATCGTCGTCAAGCCGAGTTGTGCCTGCCTTTTGTCGAGTATAAGTGTGAATATGGCGACGGAGGCAAGTCTGGCAATGACATTGCCTGTACCTAGTTTCTGTGCATATACACGGGAAAAGTGGATCAGAGTATAACTTCGGAAATCCCGGTCAGGCTGGTCGGATCTGGCCTTGATCTGGATCATTTTTTTGTGGAAACCATGGGTACTTGATCCAGATCACCTACTGACTTCATTCCAATCATAGGGCTACTGGGCCCAAGACATCGACTCTGTCAATACCGCCTTTGGTTCCGCTAGTGATCTGATCGCACTATCTGCTGCCCTTCACAGCCGTGGCATGTACTTGGTACGCTCTCCATGAATTCTGGAATGTGGCTCGGATCCTTAACAAGTCCGATGTCTCCTCCACGCCGATATTCGCTTACACAATATTGATTGATAGATGCTCGATGTGGTCACCAACCATTTCGCGTTCGAAGGAGCGGGTGCAGATGTTGACTATAGCATATTCGTGCCCTTCAATTCGGAGTCGTACTTTCACCCTTTTGAACTCTGTGATTACGACAATGAGTCTACCAACATGACTGCCATCCAAGTGTGTTGGGAAGGCGACAACACTGTCTCTCTACCCGATCTACGAACGGAGGACTCAGACGTCTATTCGGTATGGAACACTTGGATTGCAGACATCGTTTCAACTTACAGTATCGATGGCATCCGACTCGACAGTGCACTCGAGCTCAACTACGACTTCACCCCTGCCTTCGAAGATGCCGCTGGCGTCTACTTGATTGGCGAAGCATTCAATGGGGATCCAGCCATCGTGACACCGTATCAACAGTACATGAGCGGATTGATGAACTACCCAGCCTATTACTGGATCACCCAGGCCTTCGAGTCGACGTCGGGAAGTATTTCCAATCTCGTCAATGGCATCAACACCATGAAGTCCGAAGCCATTGACACCACACTCTACGGATCCTTCCTTGAGAACCACGACAACCCACGTTTTCCCTCTCTGACGAGCGACATGAGCCTCGCCAAGACCGCCATTGCCTTTACAATGCTCGCTGATGGAATCCCAATCATCTATGAGGGCCAGGAGCAGCACTTTAGCGGCGGAGCAACGCCCAATCAGCGAGAAGCTGTATGGCTCTCGGGTTACGACACGACTGCGACCCTATACACCTGGATCACCGCACTCAACGCCATCCGCAGCCTAGCCATCTCACAGGACTCCAGCTGGGTGACCTACCAGGCCTATCCAATCTACTCGGACTCACACACCATTGGCATGCGCAAGGGCAACACGGGCACCCAAATCATTGGCGTCTACAGCAATGTTGGCTCCAGCGCAAGTACAACTGTGACGCTCACCTCGGCCAACACTGGTTTCACCGCCAGCCAGTCCGTTACAGATGTTATGAGCTGCACTGCATTCACTACCGATTCCAGCGGTAGCCTTAGCGTGTCTATCAGCGCAGGAGTGCCGAGGATCTTCTACCCGACGACAGCGCTCAGCGGATCATCCATCTGCGGTGAGTAGAACCCCAGAAAAATATCATTGAGCATTGGTGGGCATGGGCAAAAGTGATTGTGCAGCAAACGATCAAGGACTAGTATATTTCATTCTACCTTTCGCATTGCAAGAAGGGCCACTGTATATTATAACATTTGTACTCCAACTTCTTTCGCTTATCTGCTTCATCACACTGGTCATCGTTGGGGGGAAGAAAAAAAAAGGCACATCTTCAACGTTTTCCTTCTTGCATGATGATTTTGGAAATATGGGGATCTTTGAGCATCATCTTGGCGCATCTAAACATTGGAATACACAGATGGTGGATCAGGGGGTAGTACTGGAAGCTGCACTGCCAGTTCCGTCGCCGTTACCTTCGACGAGCTTGTCACCACCACGTACGGTGATACTGTTAAACTGTAAGTTCATCAACACCCACCCCCTTTACCTCCTTATTCGTTCGTATACCACATCTCCGTGGTACTGGATCCTTATATGTATGTTCTGTGTCACATGAGCTAAAACCCTCGTCATCTTCTCATAGCTCGGGAGACGTCTCAACCCTCGGCGACTGGGCTACAGCCAGCGCGATCGCTCTCAGCGCCTCGCAGTATACCTCCATCAATCCTCTCTGGGACGTTTCAGTAAGCCTAGCGCCAGGTACTGTTGTGGAGTACAAGTACATTGTGGTGGATAGCTCGGGTACTGTTACTTGGGAGGCGGACCCGAACCACACGCTCACTGTGCCCTGCAGCGCCACCACAGTATCTTCGAGCTGGCAGACATGATGTTGTGGATCATGAAATGGAGAAACAAGGCATGAGAGGGTGGAATAGAGTATAAGTATATATTTTATATATCAAGATCTGAATAAAGCAAAAGACAAAAATTTGGAGGAAACCTACAATGACCATATAACTTCAAGGGTGATTTGGTTCCTGTTTGACATATGCTTCTCTCTATCTTCAGAGTGTCCAAGTGAGCGATCATATGAATCTGCTTGGAGTCAATGCGCAACATAACTGTGGTGGTTGGTATTCTTCCCTTCTATATGATACCCTGTCTTCTCATGATTGATTGTCCAACATAAAGACCAAATATCAACCAACTACAACAGGTTTCTCTTGCTCGAGCACCAACCACGTCCTTGAATCCACACGAAACACAAAAAAAGTACGTGCGAAGTGACGGGTTTGAACCGCCGATCTCATCCGGTTTCCACGAACACCAATATTGAGTGTGAATGGGAAGGATGCATCTTACCACTCGACCAACCCCGCTGTTGACTTCATTCCTCATCGAAGGGGTTCATATAGTTGGATTTCTCTTCGGTGGAGAGAGAGAGAGAGGGGCTGGGCAGGCAATCTCGCTGTGAAATAGATCACAGCAAAGGGAACCCTCTCTCGGAGGGCGCTTGGGCTGTATAGCTAGAGTTGCATGGTCACAGAAGAGTCTCACGCACGAGGACTTGAGTACGATAGTACTGTGTGAAGCAAGTCGAATACGATTGTATTCTAGCCACGGGGGGAGGGCCATCTGATGCTCCAATGGCAGCCTTGTTGACCATGCTTCCCCACTAGCTTCCTCATCGCCTGTCTCATATTAACCCGGACTCCATGATGTGCCACTTCAAGGCTAGTGAGGATTATGAGCCCGCTATCCTTTCAGAGTCTTCTCTCCAGCTCATGTCTCATGACGGACTTCTCCGCAGCAGTAAGCGCGGCCTCGCTGTGCCCTCCAGACCTGAGTCCATCTTGATGAGGACTTGTTTACTTCCTCGTGGAATTGGGGTTTACTAGTGACGCAAAGGGGTTCTGCAAAAGGACTGTTGGTCTACAGTCGCCCCTTCAGTATCATTCAAGAGCAAGTCCATCTTTGCTTATAAGCACGGAACCACAGCTTCTCGATCCCTGAGTTGCAATGTCCGAACTACAAAACATGAAGTCGGCGCAACAATTGTAATTTTCTGGCGTCTGTACAATGCCACCTCAGACAACCTTTTCGAAAGTCTTCTGGATGGGCTTCGCTGCCTGCAGGTTCTGAGTGAGCACATTTTCATCTAGATTAAGGGTCATTCATCGCCAGGCATGCTATCACTTACGTCGATAAACTTCTCCAAGTCGTTGTCTAAATTCGCCAGATCTTCCCTGCGCTTCTTGTTCTCGGCGATGAGCTTCTGCTTCCTCTTCAGCAGCTCCTGGCGTTGCTGTTCGAGGGCCTCGCGCTCCACTCGCTCATCCTCAATGCGCGCTGCCATCAGGGTATTTTCATCGGACTCGACATGCTCGGGGTGCTTGGCGAGGAAGTCCTCAACGGGCGCCAGTGGAAGCTTCTGGTACTCGTGGCTATGCGATCTCTTGTCAGCCTTCACTTCATATTTTTTCCACCTTTCGCTGGTATTCTTGGACGCCGGCTTGACTCCCTACTCACTCGTAGCTCTCGCAAGCCGCAATTTCGCCCTGCAAATGCGCCTGCTCGTAATACAAGTTCTGCAGCTGCAAGTGCAGCACATCCACCTCTTGCCTCGCTTCTGCCGTTTGCGCCTTGGTGTCGCGTGCGCCCATGTAGGCGCTGCGATGCAGACCACGCAGGGACGAAATGTTTGTGTTCAAAAGCTTCTGCTCCTTGGACAGCTCGATCTGCTGGGCGATAGTGAGGGGCGGCGCATCGAAAACGGAGGAGATGGCCAGACGGTCGGCGAGACCCAGGGCTTGCTCGCGCGCATTCTGGGAGGTCTGCAGGAAAGACCGCAGGCTCGGGTCGGTTACTATGCCATCGATCGTCATGGCCGGAGAGGGTATGAGCAGTGAATTTGAAAGAATGTCAGGGTATGCGGCAGTTCAGCGCGCCCAGACCCAGGCGGTTCAGTTCAGTTCAGTTGGTGTGATCGCGAGTCCAGCCAGCAGTCGCGGATTATTGGGCAGTTGGCGCGGTCTGCAAGGGTAGGTGCTAAAGTATGTACCGAGTACCTAGCGTGGTAGACATCGATTCCGACGGCAGAAAGGGCAAGAAGCGGATCCTTGTCTTTTCGATGTGGAGCGGCAGGAGCGGGTGAGGCGAGCGGACGGGAATGGCTGCGGGGTTCCCGAGACGGACAGAGACGTCAGCACAACCAAACTTTCCAATACGATCTTAACCCAAATCTTGTGCCTAGCCAATACCGGACGGTATGACGATATGCGCTAGGCAGTTTACGCTTTTGTGGTCCAGATCTTTGGGATCTGAGAAAAAATCCAGATAGGGCTCGTTTAGGGCTCAGTCAGATGCACAAGAGAGCGGCTCCTAATGGGTACAGTATTACAGAAGATCTACTGTGTAGCTGAGAGCCACGCGAAAAAGGGTAACAGGCTAGGAACAAAACAAGCACTCCTATTCCACAACCGATCGGGAAGTCTGCATGTGAATATCCACTTTTGTTAAGTTTTGCTGCGTTGATTGGCAGAGTCCATCATCAACACCAGTGAGCGGCCAGGTCCCGATTCAGGGATCCGAGTCACTGGCGTCCAGGCTGGTCGGACAATAGAAAGACGGTACAACGCTTGATGAGGCTGACTGATGCTATTGAGTCTTGTCCGGTACTGTGGGAAATGACCAGTACGGGATAATCAAAAAAGCCACAATGGCATTTCAGCGATGACGGCGAGGGCTGAATTGGGGCTGGTTAGGCATAAAGAACATGACAGGATCGACTTCGGCATGTTTTGGCAGCTCCCTTTGAGAGCGAATCCCGAAAAAGATTCAAAACACATGCAGGGCCCGCGTCTGCAGCTCCACTTCATGATGGAGATTCAATTTGAGCTTCGCCGCCGACTTCGTTGCGAATTATTCTCGTCTCTCCTCCTCTTTCTGAATTCCCGCAATTATTACCATCTGAATCACAATTCCTTCTCTTTTCCTTCTCAGCTTTTATTCACAAGTAACTGGCACGTACACAACATCCAAAAGTACCTACCCTGCCTAAATACCTACCTACCGTCCTGTCGGGACCCACGACCGGATCAACAGGCCAATCCTTAACCTCCGCCCTCCTTCAGGAAGGGATCTGCAAGACGCCAATAGTTGCTTCCGCCCCAACGGTTCTCCCCAAATACTACGCTGAGGGGGCCGCATCCTGCCTCGGAGGGGACTCTCTGCCCAAAAAAAAATAGAGAAGGGGTCCAGCTCTCAGCCGCCTTTCATCTCACACACTTCCTTTTGGTCGAGCCAACATCCTACTCCAAAACATTATTGCATAGCATATATACAGCGACTTGGATACCTCTTGACTCGGGCTCATCATTCCTTGAACCCGGTCGTCATCATTATCATCCTCACTCCGCCTTTCTGGGGCGGTTTTGTGTTGTTCCGCATTGGTATCTGGACCAACCAATTGATTGCGCACGTCACATCCCGTGGCAAAGTTCAGGTACATGTGAAGGCCGACAACACCTTAATCCGAGGAAGAAAGCCACCAAGACAGCTGACTCAGGCCTCTTTGGTACTTCAACATTATTTGTTGAAACATATAACAAAAAGGTCCTATAATTCATCAATCTCTCTGGTTTGGTCTTCCTCCTGCAATTGCTCAATATGGAGGGGCCACTGAACATGACCTCTTGCGCGAGCTCTTTCAACCTAAAGAACGGCACCGATGATACAGAGGAAACACACAGTTCTGGTACTGAACGAAGACCGGAGATTCGGAGGAGACGACACTCACATTTCATACCGCGGAGAAGAAAATCTATAGTATCATCCTTCATGGAAGGGGAAGAGGCCGTTATACTCAAAGTGAGTATACACATCCACCGGACAGATCCGGACCTCACATGCCTCCCCCCCCTAAACGCCGCCTTCAGCAATTTGTCACTAACCACACTCTCAGGTGGACTTGTTCCTATCGGAGCTCGAGAGACGACTCACATACCTCGAGACCTACTCCGACCTCTCTCTGGACACCACCCTCTCCCGCGCCTACCAAACCCTCCAGGCCGTCCGCACCCGTTGCTCCCAAGCCTCCTCCGAGCTTCTCGGCGAAGGCCGGCGGCGCGCTCACATAATGGTCGAGACGCTCGAGACCCGCTACGCCTCCGCGCTGGCCGCCGCCGACAGCACCGTCGACAAGGCCCGCGTGTCTATCGAGCTGCTGGATGAGATGCTCTCGGACTTTGAGGCGCGCGCACACAAACTCCGCGAGCGCGGTCTGCAGGCTGTTGTCAATGATGCCGCCGAGCTCGCTGGCCGGGTTGTCGAGGATGGGTTGCGTGGGGCCAAGCAGGCTGCGGAGGGCTTGGAGGAGACGATTCAGAAGGCCATGCTGCGGGCCAAGGAACACGGCCTGATTCGCTATGAGGACTTGCCCGTACCATGGCGCATCAACCCGCATATCCTACGCGGGTACCGGTTCCGCGAATCGACAGCCGGATGCATTAGGAGCGCGTTCGGTCTTTCCAACGAGCTGGTGAATATTTGGACGCACGCCCTCGGCCTCCTGCTCATCCTCGCGGTCGCCTTCTACTTTTATCCAACCTCCATCAACTTTCATCTATCGACCAAAGCGGACGTCTTCATCGCGGCGGTCTTTTTCTTCGCCGCCTGCCAGTGCCTCGTGTGCAGCACGATCTGGCATACCATGAACGCCATCACGGACGTGCAGCTGATTTCGACTTTTGCCTGCGTCGACTACACGGGCATTTCATTGCTTATCGCGGCTAGCATCATGACGACCGAGTACACGGCCTTTTACTGCGAGCCCGTGAGCCGTTGGACGTACATGGTGCTCACGGCGGTGCTGGGCGTCGCGGGTGTAGTCATGCCGTGGAACCCAGCATTCAATGGGCCAGATATGGCCTGGGCTCGCGTGGCCTTTTTCATTGGGCTAGGCGCCACGGGCTTTTTCCCCATTGTGCAGCTGAGTCTGAGCCGTGGGAGCGAATTTGTGTGGGAGTTTTACTCGCCGATTGCCAAGAGCATGTTGGTATATATTGTCGGGGCGTTTGTGTATGCGAGCAAGGTGCCTGAAAGATGGTGCCCGGGCATGTTTGACTATTTTGGAGGCAGCCACAATCTGTGGCATATCGCCGTGTTGGGCGGGATTCTTTTCCACTACACTGCCATGCAAGAGTTCTTCTCGCTGGCCTTCCAGCGTGCGAAGGGCGGATGTCCCGCGTACTGAGGGTATGTAGGAGGTAGTAGCAGTAGTACTTTTGAATAAATTTGGTATTTTAATACACTGCTCTATCTATGAGTGAAGCTCCGAGCGAAAGCTTCCTTGCGCTTACAAAGCCTGGGGTATCATGCA